TATGTATGTAAACAATGTGGGAAAGCTTTCAGTAGGTACAATGACTGCAAAATACATGAAAGAGTTCACACTGGGGAGAAACCCTATGTATGTAAGCAATGTAGGAAAGCTTTCAGCAGAAGCACTCATTGTCGAACACATGAAAGAACTCACACTGGGGAGAAACCTTATGTATGTAAACAATGTGGGAAAGCTTTCAGCACAAAGGGAAATTGTAAAATACATGAAAGAGTTCACACTGGGGAGAAACCCTATGTATGTACACAGTGTGGGAAAACTTTTAGCACAAATAGTCATTGGCGAAAACATGAAAGAGTTCACACAGGGGAGAGACCCTATGTATGTAAGCAATGTGATAAAGCTTTCACCACACGCAGAGTTTGTCAGATACATGAAAGGCTTCACACTGGGGAGAAACCCTATATATGTAAGCAATGTGGAAAAGCTTTCAGCACAAAAACTCATTGTCAAAGTCATGAAAGAACTCATACTGGGGAGAAACCCTATATATGTAAACAATGTGGGAAAGCTTTCACCACACGTGGATATTGTAAAATACATGAAAGCCTTCATACTAGGGAGAAACACTATCTATATAAGCAAAATGATAAAGCTTTAAGCAGGCACAGTGAATGTAACATACATGAAAGTACTCACACTGGGGATTAATTCTATATAAGTAAGGAATGTGCAAATGCTTTCAGCAAACATGATGATTATCACATGTATGAAAGAGCTTATTGATCACAAATCCTATGTATGTGAGCAATGTGGGAAAGATGCCAGTGTACACACATTGTTAATGCATGAAAGAACCTTCATGGGAGGAGACTATATATGTAAGTCAATTTTGAAATTTTTTCATATAATGGAGACCTGAAGAAATAGTACAAAAAATTTAATGTCAATATTTGTTCACAATTTTTCTAGAAAATACAAATCCCAGATAGAGCTATCCTAAAGTACACATATTATATGTTTTTCAGTAAATCACTTATGTGTCTGTAGGGTTTAATAAGCAAATTGACATAATTTTGTGCTTTTTAGTGTCTCTGTACTTAATCCATAGTGCCTATTACTTCAACATAGTCCATTAAAAATGTACTTTTTGCTTTCAAGTATGGTTAGTGTCTATATACTTAATTTTTTTTCTTTGTATTTGGTACAAGGTCTCACTATACAGCTCATGATAGGAGTGATCCTCTTGTTTTCATTCTCCCCAGTGCTGGGATTGCAGGCATTCCCATCTTGGTGGCCAGCTTAGGGTGTCTGGGGGTAGGGCCAGCACAGCATGTGGTGCTAGAAAATGGAACCCGAGTTTTGCCTAAGCAGACGCTTAGTCTGTTGAGCTATCTTGCCATCCTTTATGCGCTTAAAGTTTTATTTTTAACATTGGGAGATATGGACAACTAAAAACTTTGTATATTTATATATAAATATAAATTGTTAGAATCCTGTCCCTACTTTTGTTTTGAAATTTTGATTCATTTTCTGTATCTTCTGTGTAACAACTGATGTTTCTGAATTTGATGCCACATTTTATATTAGAATATATATCTTTTAGAGGCTTGTGAGCATTTTTTTTTTTTTTTGGCAAAGTTGAGTTCATTTCACCCAATTTGTAGAGTAGGAAATGCTACGTTTTTCATGTTTTGACAATTACCTGCTTCTATCCCAACATCACTGTTCATTATATTATGTACATAATGTTGTATGATTTTCTTTCTTTCTTCTTTCCTTTCTTTCTTTCTTTCTTTCTTTCTTTCTTTCTTTCTTTCTTTCTTTCTTTCTTTCTTTCTTTCTTTCTTTCTTTCTTTCTCCCTTACTGGGGATGGAACTTAGGACCTTGCACTTGCCAGGTCATGGTGCTGAGCTATCTCCCCAGCATGATTTTCTTTGTTATTGCAGTCAATATTATCATTTATTTAGACATTTTTTAATTCCTACCATCAGAATTTTACTTTTCTCCTTTATATTGCACTGATTTTTAGCTTGGTGTTAATTTTCCACCAAATGTACCAAGAATAAGGCATACTGCCATGAGATTCTGATTACCACAGACCATTAAGATCATAACTGTGTCCAAAAGCATACCAAGAATTATAATACCTCTATTCAGTATAAATGGTGGTATGATTTATTAGTAGCAATACATTAACAAGAATTTTTGTTAGCTGTGTAGTTGTTTGGGGGAGAATTGATGCTAATGTGTGTGCAAGGTAAAGTCTATTCCTTGATGTCATGATACCAATTTATCTTTGGTAATCATTGTTTACCTCATATGCTAAACTAATGGCCTGAAGGAAAACCTCACTCATATGAATTGTCATTTTGGTAAAATGTGAATTCATTAAGTTATAATTGAGATCATGTTCTGTTCGACCAATTTTTGAGATAAAATTATCCAATGCATTTCTCATTGTTCATAAGGACAACTGTCTAATGTTTGAGGTACGTGCCAGTTGCCTTCAAACACATATGCTGGGCTAAGAAATGTGCATGAGTATCAGCTCTCTTTTGACCAGGTCTCTTTTGACCTGTACTTTCACTCTCATTTTAACATTGATGTAATTTTTAAAGGGCTTTGTACCTTGCTCTTGAATATAAAAGCTACTCCACTTCTGCTGGGGTTATGTTCTTACAAACCTATGGAGCATTGTCTTGTTTACTTTTCTTGCATTGCTAGGACAAAATACGTGACACCCAAAGGTACATAAATGGAGATTCATCTGTCTCATAGGAAGTTTTCCTTAATCAGTTGTCTACAAGGCAGGTTGACATGGCAGAGGGGCAATAGTTCATGGCAGTGCAAGTTAACAAAAGCAAACAAGAGTGAAAAGGGGGCATCAAAAATGCTTCTTTTCCTCACTTTTAAATTTTAAAGAATAAAATCAGAACAAAGACAAAAACAACAACATAAAACAATAAAAATTGTACAGAATTAGAAAACTAACAATGGTTGTTTTTTTGTTTTTTGTTTTAAAATGTACTTGGTACAGGGTCTCACTACACAGCTTGGACTTGCAGTGATCCTCCTGTTTTCAGCCTCTAGTCTGCTGGCCCCCAACAATGGTTGTTATATTACATATTATTATCACATTTGTTGCTCAGATTACCAGATTTAGACATGCAAGATTGATAAAAAAAATTGAACATTAAATTTTCCTTTCAATAAACCTTACTTTTTTTTTCTTAGCCATTATATGTTTAAAATTTATTTTAAAGAGTACAAAAATAATAGAGAACACATTATAAATGATAAGCTTTTTTTAAAAAAAAACAAGATGAAATGTGTTCAACAGTGATTGTTATCAATTGCATTGAAGACTGCTGTCTTCACTGTAATTGCTCAAATTACAGATATTAGCATACAAATTGGTCAAAGTAAAAATTCTGAGCATTAACTGCTACCTTGAGAAAACTAATAGATTAAAGACCCAATCCAGAAATGGGCATTCAAGATGAACACACACTTCTCAGAGGACGAAATTAAAGAAGTGAATAAATATATGAAAAAATGCTCCACATCACTAGCCATCCGTGAAATGCAAATTAACACCGAGATACCATCTCACCCCACAAAGAATGGCTATCATAAAGAAATCAACCAACAACAAATGTTGGAGAGGCTGTGGGGAAAAGGGAACCCTTCTCCACTGCTGGTGGGAATGTAGACTGCTGCAACCATTATGGAAATCAGTGTGGAGACGCCTTAAAAAACTAGGGCTGGAAATCCCATTCAAGCCAGCTATCCCCCTATTGGGAATTTTCCTGGAAGAATTTAACACATCATATCATAGTGATATATGTGCACCTATGTTTATAGCAGCACAATATGTGATAGCCAAATCTTGGAAACAACCAAGATGCCTGTCACATGAGGAATGGTTGAAAAAGATGTGGTATTTTTATACAATGGAGTATTCAGCTATAAAGAATGATAAACTTGAAACATACTTAAGTGGATGCCAGTTGAAGATATACTCATAAGTGAAATAAACCAGACCAACATGTGTAAATATTGTATGGTCTCCCTAGTATAAGAACTCAAAAGAAATACAAATAGAAAGATATAATACAATTAAAAGGAAAGTGAGAACTTGAGGATTTGACAGTAAGGAGAGGGCAAGGAGAAAAGATGGGAAACATGATGGGCAAAGTAATACATTTATACGCACAAGATGGATAAGGCAATGATCCTGAGAAACATCATCAAGTTTTGAAACTAGCAGTTAATTGGTAGGATTCTCACCCTTACTAACATATATGCTGATACCTGTGAACCAAGCAGCTGCACTGAAGATAGCAATGTGTAGTAGAAGAGTCATGCTTGGAATGCCTGACATTCTCGTCATGACATACCAATTGTTGCCATACTCTGTCAAGTAAATGTTTGGTTTTTTTTTTAAAGGCTAATGAATAAAGACAGAAGAAAAAAGAATGCCACAGGACTGTCCTGCTACAATGCTGTGTATGGTTGGATTTCTAGATTTCTGTGTGAAAATATGTAATTGTTTATTCATATTTTAAAAATATTTTTCATTTTTATTTTTTTCTCCATATTCTGTAGGGACTTAAAGTTTAACATATCAATACTTTATGGAAAGTACTTGCTCCATGTTATGGCTAGGATGTTTCACATTCAGACAGGTAGGTTAAACTCAACTGCATATGTTGTAGGATAATAATAAGCTTCTCTTCTGGAGGGTTAACAACCTAAGTTTGCAGACCAAAAATTAGAGAAATATAAGAGCTGCAAGGACAACCAACATTTTGACCCTAGCCTTTCAAAGTCAGTGAAAACTCAGGACACAGGAGAGCCTATACTATAACATCATGTAACTCAGTTATGTCCCAAATTTTCTGATCAAGGAGATTATGGGACCACAGAGCAATGTGATTGATGACGTAGAGTGTGCCTAAAGAGAGTCAGATGGAGAGAAAACATTCTCTCAGGCTTTCACAGAGAGCAAATTGGTCAAGCAATGGCTGTGACTCATCCACATGGCTGACACAAAGGATCTGCAAACTGCGATACAAGGTTACAGGATAAATCCTGAGGGGATTTGACTGACCTTATCAGGTACACAAGTTACATTTCTCATTGTATAGGTCTTGCTTTATCTTGGTCTTAACCATCCAGCAGAAAAGTATAAAAATGAGGTATATAAAGTAAAGCCATATTAATATGTTGTGCTGTCTGTCATTGCCAGTCCTGTGGATAACCCACTACTATTGTGGATTGCTGGTCTGTGTTGGATTGTTTTGCTGAATTCATGCACCTATGGTATTTAGAAGCCAATGGAATACCCATCTCTGACAGGACTAAACAAAAAAAG